ACTGCTTGAACTCTCAGCCTTCCATTCTCGTGTTCTAGTTTCAGCTTAAACGTTTTTCTTCTAAATATTAAAAAAAAAAAATTTTAACTTTTGTTTGTATTTTCTCCAGTTTAATGCAGGTATCTTTTTCTACTGTTTTTTTTATTATGTACTTACTTCTTTTAATTGCAACATTTAGCACTACAAACATTCTTTCTACTTACTTATATTGTATGTAAACCTAAATACGTTCTTATCGTTAGTCATTAGGTCATACATTATTTATTAAAGCAAAGTTTTTAAGTGAGGATTCTCCTGGGCACCGCAGATGTTACTTTTATATATATATATATATATATATATATGATNCATCTCACACAGTGCTTTCACCAAAATCACATGGAAAACACCTGCGCCTGCAACTCGCTTACCACAGTAAACTTAGTACATACTAATGCTATTCTTACATCCCCAAAACCACGTGTACTTCCGGTTCCGTTGGTAATACAAAACATTCTACGGCAATAAAACAGTAATTTTTTTTGCCTGAAAAGGGTGTATTTTGTCTTTTTTGTGACGCTTCTTAAGCTACTATTGTTCTTAGCTGAATTGTTTTTTTTTTTGTTGTGTTAGCCTTTAACCGCCAGAACGTGAAGAAGGCAAAAAAGAATATAAACACGACAATGAATGGACTCTTAAAGAATTGGGTTATGGCCATATGAATCAACGCATATTTTGGTAAATTTTTGCTGAGTGCACTATTTATTTTTTAATATGCTCTTTTCCTTTTTTTTGTTTTTTTTTTTTAATTATGAACTTCATTTACTTGTCCTTTTTTTTCTTATTTCTTACCTCCAAGCTTTATGTCTGCACATGCGTAATTGGATTTATAGCTTGCCTGCACGCTTAGCAATAGTCAGGCAACGCACTTCATAAATTCAGAAGGATAACATATCTATATATAAGAAGGTTTTCCTACTGCCCTGCAGTCAAACCAACTATAGTTTAAAACTTCTACTAGTTACAATATCCTTAGCTGGAGCAATTGATCATCCAATTTTCTTATTTCCATAGGAGTAACTTGTCGGTTTAACACCTACTTCCAGATGACAATGGTCAGATTTCGTTCAAAAACATATCACCTTAGTGCTAGTTTAATAAAAATGGACCAGTTCAATTTTCAATTCAAATATTGTTTCATTTGTTTAAAAAGCAATTAAATAATATAAAGTAACCATAAATATTCAAAAATCTATAGCCTTATCTAGAAATGTGAATATTTTACCTTGTTACAATATTAATGCATTGAATATTATTTGTTGTCAATAAGAGCAGTTAAGAAATTATTAACAAAGATAGACGTACTTTTCTTAAAAATTAATTATGAAAAAAATTTTCAAGCGCAACAATTTTTAGTTCTCTAATTAATACAAGCTTAGGGTTTTTCGGACAAAATAACAAAATCGTAGTGCCAATTTTTTTTTTTTACTTTTATAATGCTCAATACTCAAACCAACTTTGTGAAAATTCACCTGCTTATTTAATTGCTAGACAATAATATGTAGTTTAAGGCATTTCGCTCACGCGGCTAAAAATGAAATCGAATGGATTAAAAAAGAAATCTAATGGATTAAAAAAAGGAGAAACAGAATATTGGGTTGAACTTCCTTGTCGAGGGGCGACCGCAATAAGAAAATTTAACTCTATTTTTTATTTATATTAATTTGGATGTTGGTCGTACTAGGACTTGAACCCGGGCTTTCCGAATGGCAGTACGCACTTGGCCACTGCGGCCGCACTTTAGTTCTATAGTTTCACAGAAAAGGAGAAAATTCTGAAACAGTGAAATATCGGACATAAGGTGATTAAAGCTCATCATCAACAAAGTGATGGGGCCTTATTCCGGTTTTTTCTCCTTCTTTACGCTTGCGCAATTATAACCGAGTTAACTATATTGCACCATTAATTTCTTATTTTCGCAATATGGAGCCAGTTGGAGATATCAAGTACTGCCAGGTCCTTGTCTACTTAGTCTTTTGAAGTGAGGGGAGGTCTTTCTTCCTCTGCTTTCACCGTCGGAAAATCATCTAATCAGCAGTTATCGACGGCGAACCAAAACCAAACTTTATAAATCGACCGTCCTACTAAATGATGCAGAATAGTGGAAATATAGACATCGGATGGGGTGACCATCGGGGTGTTCGAGGGAAAAGTTTTTCGAACGATTTATGATCTCTTGCGCTTGGCCATAATTATGTAAGCGGTACCCATGGTAATAAAGTAAAAGCAGATATTATAGAGCTCTAATTATGACAGTTCAAGTTCTGGCAAAGAACTTTACGAGTGTAGGGGCTTCGTTTACTGTTTATGAAATATATAGGTATACATATAATTTCGCAGCTTTATTTTACTATAAACACAAAACTCATCTCTTCAGCAAACATTAATAAATCATGTTCAAATACACACATTTTTGGGCGTAATAATTTTATTGCTTTACCTACTGATGTTTTATTACGGTCTGTGTTTCATTGTTATTTATACGACCGTACATCCGTTTGACCGACTTAATCGTCGCATCAATTATATTCGGCATTGTGTGAGATAAGGTACAATACATAAAAATTGGCGAAATTATAAATGTTTGTCTAGTTGTAAAGTAAAAGAATAAAAATTAAAAAAATATATAGGTACTTATTATATGTATATTTGTTAATCCATTTAGTTTAATTTTACTTTTATTTGCTTTTTTATTTTTATTTATTTTATTTTATATTTTTCATTTTTCCTGAATTAAATTTGGTTTCATTCAATAAGATGTAGTTTATTTTAGTTTTAAATATTCCAAACCAATAATTAAATTATTTATTATTTATTATTTTTTTTGGTTATTTGTTTTATTTATCTTTTATTTTTTTAAATTTCAATTAATGTTATTCTATTTTATTTAAATTTTTTTATTTTGTTTTATTTAATTTAATTACCTTTCATTTAATTTTTTTTTATGTTAATTTATTTATTTCTTGTTTTTAATCTTATGCATAAAAATCTTATGTCCGCATGAAAAAATACAGTGATTTCTAAAAATCTTCAAAAGTTACCAACCGGATGACTAGAACTTTCATCAGGTTATTTTTATGATTCTAGAGGAGTTTTGTTGCTAAAACTTTTCGGGAAGTGGACCGGGGATTGTCCTATTCAAAGAAATTCGTATGCCTGTTTGTAACAGGAACCGACCTATCAAAAAGGTCGAACTGCTCTCATCTCCAGGAAGTGAACCGGTGACACGCCTATTCAAATACTCGTGATATTCCCCTCTCCATGAAGGGGACATATGTTTCTAAAGTATTGAGTGAAAAAAGTTATGATACAAAAATATCCTATGATTAATTTTTCACACATTCTGTGAGTATATGCTAGAGCGAAGCATTGCAGGGTACAGCTGGTATTATATTACAGTACATACAGGTTTACTAACTTACTTGAAATTTTGAAATTAAAATGAATTTCCTCAAATATTTTTGAGAACACCTTCAATTCACTTTTAATTGATACAATAATAATAATTATTTGAAAATTTTATTTAAATAAATAAAAAAGAAAAACTGTAATATATTTATTCCACAATTCTTTTTTATCATTTGAACAATAAAACGAGCTTCCCTATAGTAAAATCTTTTGCTCATATCCGCTTTTATTCACTTCTACTTCATTGCCAACAATTAAAATATTTTCTTTATGTTAAACCCACTGAGCGTTATTGGTTTTCATGTTGCGCATTTTTCAGCTCCAATATGTTTGCCATCGGGAAGTCCAATAAATATTTGCACGCAACTCCAAGCGACTTAAAAAATTGAAACATTTTGAGATAAAATTTCAGAGGGTAAAGCATCGTGTACATTAATAAGTAAATATATGTGCAAGAGTGTGAGCTCTGAATCGGAACAACAGTGTGGCGCTTACCTTTCTCTCATTACGTATAACAGCAGGTTTATACATATATATAATATTGTATATTGCAAAGTCAACCTTTGTAGATCATATTTTCATGAAACCCAGTAGCACACTCTTTACTGATTGATGCCGTACGCATCACCCGTACAGGTGTGTTATTAAATAAAGACTTTTTGTGTAAAAATAAGTATTGTAAGGAATATCACATGAAGAAGTAAGTGTAAGATGAATTGCAAATTTTTGCAAGAATGAAATGCTCACATTTATTATATTAATACATAAGCTTAAAAAATACATTTTCGTATGTTATTGTATGTTCAAAAAATGTATTGGGAAAACCGTTGCAACATTTACTTTATTTTATTTTAATTATATTATTTTAATTCCCTCAATTTAATGTAATTTTCTATTCTATCATATTTTATTTTATTTCATATTGTTCTATTTTAGATTATTTTAATAATTTTAATTAAATAATTTGCTAATTATTTTGTTTTATATAGTTTTCTCTCTTATTTTTTACTATTCATATTTAATAGTTTAATTTAATTTTTTTTTAATTTTATTTTGTTTCATATTATTTCAGATATTTTATTTTTTTATGTTTTATTTAATCATTTGCATGTTTTTGTTTAATTTAATATATTTTGTTTAATTTTATTGGTTTATTTTCATATCATCTGTGAATCCAGTTGATAATCAAAAGTTCTGATGAAATTGTCAAATTTTTATGTCTCGTTGAAATTCTGCAAACAGATCTCGGGATTAAATAATTTATAAGCATTTTTTAGCAAGAACATTGAAAAAGGATAAGAAATATGCACTTATACCAATGCTACATGATGTAATGGGAAAATTTCGTGAAAACCATTGAACGTGTGCATGTTTGATTAATAAAAATTATTTCATCAAGTGGTCAAATAGGGAAAATCTTCTCTATTTACATACATATATTCTTGCCGATATACTCATTTATATACAGCTTAGTTTAAATCAAAATCCCAAATCGAAAACATATATTTGTTGATGTCTTATTATATACCATAGGAGAAGAAGAAATAACTCACCATTAATTTTAATCCGAATTTATACCTGTCAAGAATGCTGGAAAGAGATGGATAATGAAATTAGTTTACAAGCTTTAGTGTGTTCAGTATATTAATACATAGTGAGAATACAACTTTGTATTTAAAAAATAAAAGTAATAAAAAAATAATTTTTGCATGAAAAAAATTATCGAAATTATTATAAATTAATTTTAAATTGTAAGCTACTGTTTTGTTTACTTCACATTAGGGATCACGACGACAAATTTTGACTCTAACAAGCTAATTATCTCAATTATCCTATTCAAAACGGCCTGCCAAGAATCATATTTTAACTCTCTTACTTTAACATTTTATTAACCTGTTATAATTAGTTTGTAAAAAATAAAATAAAAACCATTAAAAACATTTCTTTTTCGACCAAAGTTGAAGACTTCTATTTCCGTAGTTCGAATTATCAATTTTGACATAACTTCAACCGATAAGTTTTTCGCGTTTCGAAGGTAATAAATCTCTTATAAACACCCTTGTTTCGACTGGCAAATCTTAGAGTAATCAGTTTGCTCACGCTTTTCTTGAGGATAATATTTCACCAGTAAAATCATTTGCAAAGACAAGACTATATGTTGGGCTCATAACAGCCTCCAACCGAGCTCTCGGAGCTTCCGGCAAATCACTATCGATATATGTGGTCTCTTCTTCTTCTTCTTCTTGACAATTGTTTCCTTCACACGGTCCAATTCAAGACGGTACTTGTCCACATTAAGAGTTTGATCGTAACAAAGTATTTCATAGTGGAAGTTTCTCTGTCTATCCTACCAAACATACCCCAAAACCTTCTGACCGCCAATCCTGGCTGGGAGGCCATTTGTAACGGTTCATTACCCTGGGTTTACCCCCCGGCTATGACCATTTTCATTTGACGTTGCTGTAAGTGGCTCACTATACGTCATCAGTCACTAACCGCTTCAAAAATGAGTCGATATTGTTACGACAGCGATTTGCAGATGCAAATTCGGTACATGAGATTTCTTCTAGTGGAGTCTAGTGGCATTTATACATCGAGCTTATTTTTGTGTCCAGCTTTTTTCACACTACATTTCAAGTGGTTCCAAATTATTTATTTTGCAATGCTTAGCTTCTGGAAAATTAAAGAAACTGACAAAAACAAAATTGTGTATTAATGACTGTTACATTATCAGGACTGTTACATAACGAGCTACCTGACCTGCGTTTCCATATTCATCGAAAAAAAAATTTAGAATATAGGGCATTTTGTCTTTGCTTATGCCCATCACTTACACGCAACCTAAGCCTACTGAGTTAATCGTATCGAGACTGCTGGGATGTTTTTATCCCAAAATGTTTTTTAAAAATCCTGACTTGGAATATTTTATTTATTTATTTGTATTTGTGTGTATTTGAAATATTTATGAATCATTTATAATATAATTTATGAATTATAACATTGCATTAGAGGCGACTAGCAGCTGAGATTATCGCGAAACTGACTGACTTGGAATAAACAACATGAAATTGGTTCAAACAGATCCCAGCACGTTCTTTAAGCTTATGTATTTGCTTTGTTGTCAGTTAGACAATGACATTTGACCTTGGGTTACTACGTCGTTTTTGTGTTGTGAAACTTTCTGGTGGAATAATTTACGTAAAAATATGTATAGTATATCAACCAAAAATATCTGAAATTTCCCGAAATTTTTGCGGGCTTGAAATAATTTTAATTTAATTATTACCTCTTTTCACCACTTTAATTTTATATGAAAAAAAAAAGCATTTTAGTCCCGGTCAGAGGGACTACTAAGACATTTTGGTCCCGTCAAGAAGGATATTCAAATTCCAAGACTCTGAATCGTGTTCAGGGAATTTAAACTAAAAAAGCAGAAATAAAATTCTTTATACTGTAAGTTCAATTGATGTCATCACAAAAAAAATAAATAAAATTCGAATCGAAACGATTAAGTGATTAACACTTCTCCCACAACCTTTTTTAGCACGAAATATCATTTTTCTAACTATAGACAAATCCAAATAAATGGATTCTCTTTACTACACCGAGCATTTTTCGGACTTGCTGATTAAGATAGACTTCAAAACACGCACCCAAATTAACTAATCAGCCCTAATTTACTTGGTTCACCTTGAAGCGTGTTTATGAAAGAAAACATAAATAAAGAAGAAGCAGCACCGATTTAAAATCAAAGCAGAAAAAAACTGTATACTACCCACAAGACATGCAATACTGTATGTATGTATTATTATAATCATCTTCGCATGTAAAAAAATCTTCTTAGGCTAATATCAACGAAAATGTAACAGTTACGCATGTACTTTTGTAAAAATACAACAATATCAGTATGTAAAATATTTTTATAATTTTCTTGCATTAAAATATGCTAACATGAACTTGTATGTTTAGTTGTGTGTTATCTGAAGATATTTTTCGTTGTGGTTCAATTGCCTCAGCTCATCCAAATTTTTTCGTTTGAAATGATTTTTTGCTTTATTTTTTTATTTTTCTTTACCTTTATTTTTCGCAATAATTTCAGCTTTTTATGATTTCTTACATTTTGCTCTTCATTTCAGCTATTGGCATTGTTACAATGGCCGTTGTTGTTATTGTTGTTCATCTGCCCTCAAAACTTTACAATTGCGTCTAATTAATCTCTTCGGTTTATTTTTTTGCTGACTTGCCTGGAAGTGTTTCCAATGGTGATTGCTTTGCGGGAAGGCAGTGGATTTTATATTTCTTAAATTTTTTCTTGATTTTTTTGTGTTTACTTTTATTTTTACTGTTTTTTGTTTATAAAGCAACACTTACTTCTTGCAATGCAATACAATTAGCAAGCAGCAATGAGATACCTGAGGCAGGCTTTGTTAACCAAAATAGCCGAAGGTAAATACTGAAGAAATGGAGCGCAACAAATGCTTAGTGATGTGTTGAATGCTATGTAGAATGGAGTCAAACGATTTGGTCTTTGGTTCATTGGCGGAGTAGAAATAAGAATGGCAACGAAAATAAACGTTTTTCTGCAGAAAAGAAAAAATAAAATGAAAATTGTAATTAGATTATTGCTTTCTTTGCTTTAAAGTCTCACAAAAATTTTATATTATCGAGTTTATTCTATGAGTTTCCTTTAGTAAATTTTGTGTATGGTAATATTTCAATTTCGGAGACCAGTGTTTGAGTCCTATTCCGGCCAACATCCAAAATTATAGAAAATAATTTTTCCAAATAAAGTTGACCGTCGGCAGCCAATGTCAAATACTCCAAGCATATTTCTGACATGAAAATCAAAGCTCATCATAAGAATCCGACGAGGAATCGCAAGCGGTTTAAAATAAACTCTGAGTCCTGCCATTTGTTGGAAATATATCAAGACGCACACCACAAATTAGAGGAGGAGCTGGACCGGAAATCGTTTCAGCGACTACATAGCGCCAATTACGAATATACATATTATACGTAATATATTTCATGGTAAGCCTGCTCGGATATTTCGATTCGACGAGATTCTAGAAAACAACTAGAATGATTCTGCTCTGGATTTCAAAGCTGACCTTATTGTTGTTGACGACAAGGCAATGACTTTTTGTCTTATAAGAGGAACCATTTCGCCTTGTCCTCGACTATTCAAAGACCCAAGCGCTTTACTTCCATATCCAATGTAGAGAAAGAACTAACGACGCAGTTATTGTTACCAATATCATCGCATTATATCAGCAGCACCTTCTCTGCTTAGTTCTGAAAATCGTATAATTTTATCCAGCGTTATGTAAATGAAGCCACAAATTAATCATCATTTGTCTGAAGCATCGTTCTGAACCGAATCGAAGTTCAAACATTTCGCCATAAATACAGCGCTATAAGTTAGTTGATGGCGGGAACTAGTCCTAAACCAGTCATATGTGCGATGTTGAGTTGGCTTGTGGTCGAGCAATTGACCGTCTGTTCGATCGTCAACGAACACTCTAGCTGGCTGGATCAGTGTAATCAGTACAAAAGATAGCGTGGTGTTTAAGTAGTTACCGCAAAATGTTCCCCTAAATGGTTTTTGGGAAATATTGCAAAAGTGACAGTCTTTGACCGGATAAATATTCGGATGGTACCTACTTTAAGACTCGACTATCGCGGGAACTATTGTATTATAGTTGTCACTTACGCATGGGGTTATCATAATGTGATCGATCGCAGTACTTAGAGGAAGACATTATTTTTTCTTTCTTAATTGTGATAGCTTTTTTTTTAGACTTGTTGAAAACAAATCGTTTGCATGTTCGCAGAGAAAAGTAGTGCAAGTTGAGTGAAAAACTGTTGGGCTGTCCGTTAGGATTGCATATGCTAGTGCCTACTCGTATCTACGCTAGTACTTTAGAGTTCTTCTTTATCTTCCCAAGTAGTATCGTTTTTCACATCGTCCTTCTCATCCGGCGGAACTGAGGCGTAAATAAGCGACAAGCTGAAGAACTTCACATCGATAAGAATTGAGTGTAGACGGGCATCTAAGAAGAATTATAAACTAAGGCACTGAATCTCTCCACTAAAACCAATTTGAAAATCGATAAAACTATCAAAATACTTTTTGCAAATTCACAACTTGATGCATATGCTAAATTATGTGACTGGTAGAGATGATGCCTAACAGGAAAAATAAGCTTCAGATAATTAAACGAATGTTGATGGGCAATCGAGCAAATGAACTTACCTTAGTACCAATCAGAATCCTTTGAGTTTCTGTTTTGGTTTCGAAAAGTTATTCAAACTTTGAAGAATTATGGGAAAACTAAATGCTTAGGTCCCTGACACACCTAATGTGTATCATTAACTATTACATCGGTTAGATAAAATATCAATAACCACTTTTTCGAATTTTTTTTTTAATTTTTTTAACTGAACTTAGCAGTTAGTACGCTTTTGTCTAGCCACCATTTTCCAGGATTCTGTATTTAAGATTATAATATTTACCGGTACATATCTATTGAATATAAAATGAGTTAATTATTTTCTCATCCACTTATACAATTTTTTCAATTTTTTTT